ACATACATATGACTTCTCATGTGTAAACTGTGGAGATCATCCTCCTGTGGTGATTATGGATTTGCATAAAAAGGGAGTCTTCAGCATGCCAAGTGAGTGCTCATTTCTTCAAATCTCTGTGTCAGTTACAATTCCAACTGTTATTTAGACAACTGTTTGTCTTTCAGCGAGTGACCTCCAAGAGCCACCACCTGAATTTGATGGCCAGGTTGACATTGAAGACTTCTGGCATTCGGTTAGCGAAGAGATCCTTTGTCGAGGCTTTGTGAAGAGTAAGTAAACTTTGAGCAATTTTGAGAGTGCACTGTGCCAAGTAGGTATAACTGCAGGCATTTGTTAACCATTTAGTTTGAGTTTTTTCAGGATAAGCTGTGCGTTTGTGTATATAGCCTTATATAAACAATGTTGGTCATAATTTGTCTGTTTGGCTCTTTCCTAGGTAATGCTGCAAATCCATGTGTGGTATCCCCATCGTACCATAAATGGGCACCTTGGATAGGTTCTCGGACCAGGGCCAACAACATTGTGTTCAACACAGAATACATGAAGGGTCAAGGCAGGAAACGGGCCAACCTGACAGAGCAGGCAGAGGTGGACATCACAGAGGACAGATTGACAAATGAAATTATGAACTTGAAGGTGACATTAATTTAACAAGATGCTTCCCCCAAACTGTAATTGTTCTTAGATGACCATGTGTAATTGCCAATGTTTTCACAGGTTAATGCAGTGCGAAGTTTGGTGAAGAGCTGTGGCCTTGACTCAACTGGATCAAAAATGGATCTCGTCATCCGCTTGAGGGAGCAAATGAAAAGCCGCAGTACATATGACAAGGTGTTCCAAAAGGTCTGGGGTGCATCTGGTAAGTTTTGCAAAGCACAATTATCGTAATTTATGAGATTTTTGCTTTTAGAGTTTTAAATATATAATATACTTATATTTTAATTTATTTTCCTGTTAAGGTGGTTGGGCAGTGATAATGTGCCCTTGTGGGATCGTGAATGCAGTTAAATTCAATGTAAGAGCAGAAAGTCCACGAGACTATGCAGACATGCTGCTATCTTTTAAGCACATGCCAAATGTGGCAATCTATGACTTTGCCAGAGGTTTGGTCACTCACACCAACTTGCGTGAGCCAGAAAAGATGCCTTTCAGGCCAAATTAAGGCAGACTGACGGATGATACACCAGAAAATCTCCTGTCTGCTGCGAAAAGTGCGCTGACAATAAACTTGCCCTGGTTAAAGTTCAAGAAGGAGCCAGCGGACACGAATGGACACCCTACTACAGGATCTGCCGATCACTACGCTCTTTATGACACTTTCCATGAGGCAAACACGAAAGACCCTAAAGATTGCTTAAGAAAAATTGGCCTTGTCCCAGAACTCCGCGGCTTGATCAACTCTCAAACAGCTGAGCAGTTATTCTCCAAAATGAGAAAAAATAACTATTTTCTGAACATGATGTCTCCGGGAAGCCATGTCTTTCTCATGCGATGTACTATTCATCATCATAACATCAAAAGAAATGAGAGAACCCTGACCGAACTTAGGAAAATATCATCGGAGAAGATCACTCTTGATCCAACTGGAAAGGCTGTAATGGGTACGTAAGCGTTAATGTGAAATATTTTTTATTTAAAATAATGTCTTCACATTGTGTTTGTTTCTTATTTATATTTTATAGCATCTGCACTGTTTCCAAGTGGCACTTCAACTCCAGCACACCCCAAAGGTGAGTTGACAGCCGGTTATGGAATATCTGTATAACTGGTTCCGGTGGACAAAGATGTGTATGGATCAAGGCATGGTGATCTACTTTTTTATTTTTATAATTTTTTTTTACATTTTCTTTTTTATTACAATATAAATAGAAGCACAGAACATGGACCAATGTTCAGAAAAATGTGAGGCCTTAACAATCATCTCATCACTCAAGCCCTGCAGAGCCTCATGGTCCCTAAAGGGTGATCATCCCCTTCAGGAGCATCTGGTAAACTGAAGTTTCTGCATACTATCATTATTGTCCTTAATATTTTATTAATTTGGAACATGACTAATCTTCATGCTCTGTTATTTGTTTTCCTTATTTGTACACGTCCAGATCAACTATATCCTGGATGTTGATAGGCCAGATGGGGAGATAATAATCAAAGATGGACCAACTTGCCTGACCAGGAGTAACATGCTGACGCTTGGACTCCATAGAGACATGGACTCAATGGTGCGTTACAACTGTCCAATTTAGTGGTGAAGGTATGTTTTGATAAAAATATGCCAGGAATTAATTGTCTGACACTGTCTATAAACTATATCAACAGGTAGGAAATGGGTGCCTAAGGCTGGTCCAAGACATGGCTAATATGCAGGTGTGTCTATTTATTTATGAAAGATATTTTTATACTGAAAAGTTTATGTGATTTGGTGAAAAGGTCATGGCTTACATGCATAGTTGTGTTCAATACATAGCTGGTACTCAGACATGTTTTACATACTTTTTTTTTTAGCATTTCATAATTTTAGGTATGGTTGAATTCTATACAGGGAAAGGATGTTTTCATTTGCGACCTTCATCTACCCCCAACATGGCTCCCCCCCTCCAACTGTGATCCTTTGCTCCATTTCCCAGTAAGTGATTGAGCAGATATTTTCAGTCTAATATTAAACATGATGAACCGAGATGTTATCCTTAACTTTACAATTGGCATGCCCCTCATTGGATATGTGCACATTGGCTGTGTTGGTTCTAAATACTAAATTAAACTTAAATGGTTTCCAAACACTTAACTAAAAGGTCTTCTGATTTTGCAACACCACATTACTAAATTACTTTATGAAAATGCAGTACATCATTTTCAACAGAAGGATGCTGATCAGAGGGAAGCCCTGATCATTCCACTGTGGGTTCCAGGGCATTTTCTCCTGTGTGTAAGTTCATTATACCCACTGAAAATATACAGACTTTGTATGCAGCATATGACATCCTGTTGTACATTGAAAGGATGTGGTTGTACATTTCTTAGCTTTAACCTTCATTACTCATGCCATTTGCTTGTGAATTTGTTGAGGCAATGTTATTACCCGCAAAGTGTACTATTTGCTTATTGTCCAGACTGCATATTCCCTGTAGGTGATGAGGCCACTCCAGAAAGAACTGTTCTTTCTGGATTCGCAATATTTCAGAAGAACAGGGGGTTTCCCCTGTGAGCCCTACAGGAATCTATTAAGGTTACCCTGGATGTGTGTGTTCTGGTGGTCACGTTACCCTGACCTGCCTATAATGTTAAGACTATGTTTAAAAAAGAAAAGTTCAAACGGGAGGCACTGTAGTCCTTAAAGGTAGGGTAGGTAAGTTTGAGAAACCGGCTCGAGATTGCTAGAATTTGAAAATACACGACCGGAGAAAATCTGCCACTTCCTTACAGAGCCCCTCCTCCAACACACACGAACGCGCACATGACCAATGAGGGCACGAGATAAGTTTGTGCACAGATGGAAGGCTGACAGGCAGGTAGGCCATCCAGTTATTTTAGCCGGGCCGGCTCAGATGATTGGTCGTACTTTTTACAGTATTACGGCTTCCACAGATGACATTTTTTTATGGATTTATTGTCAAAGCACTTCAGATATTCATTGCTATCGGGATGTTAAGAGCATTCCATGGAATATACCAAGTGTATCTCGAGCCGCTTTCTCAAACTTACCTACCCCACCTTTAAATACGGAAGGATTGTTATAGTCAGAAAAGATTGGCTTCCTTAAAGCTGAAGTTGAATGAAATAGTCAAACGCAATCGAAAGGGAAACCAAGAGAAATCTTCCTCGTTGAACTTTTTCCAATAACATGATTTACTTTATTTGCATGGTCTGAACGTGTTAATGGCTGTTATTTTTCTACAACTGTGTTCCCTGTTCTGTGGACTACAGTTGGCGGTTCATGTTCTGAATCTGAAGCAACAATGTTTTGTTCCCCCTCTTTTTTAATAATTTCTGATGTTTGACCTAGTTTTGCTCTTGCTTTCCCAGGGGTGTTGCACAGCAAATCATTGCAGGATCCTGGACCGAGAAGACTGCTCTGGATTTTGAGGTGTTTGCAATGTCACTATCGTATTGTCACAATTGGCTATTATGCTCTTACTAACTTTTCTTCATACAGGGGCTTCCGAAGCAGACCCATGGGAATGACTGTGGTGTCTTCATGATAATGGTGAGTAAGGATAAGGCCGTGATATGGCACAATTGATTGCTCCTTAACACCTTTCATTTGTAAATGCATGCAATAGTGAATAGTTTCTTGTGGCATTATCAGCCCTGCACATTTTATTGGAGGTGTGTGACTACTTTCTCAGAGTTATAAGCTGTCACGTGTACATTATGTCTTGCATGTCTTAATAAAATTCTCATTACAGTATGCCTGGTATTTTGCCATGGAGGCCAGCTTTGACTTCAGCATTGTAAGTATTAAGGAAAGAAGTCACATTAAAATTTTATAACAAACTTAATGAAAATTGATGCTCTTTCTTTAGCATGACATGTCTCTCCTGAGAAGGTGGTGGTGTGTTATCCTGGTGGAAAACTTTGGACTGGAAGGGTATGCTGCAGTGCTACAAAAACATTTGAATTTGTAATTGTATTATCGAGAAGATTTGGGGGGGAACTCCTGGCTCTAAAATGCAACCTTCTGGTGAAGAAAATGTGTCTTAATTGCAGGTATGGAAAGAAGTTTGCTCACTATAGTGAGGAAGGCAGGGCGACAATGTTCCACCTACATTCAGGATCAGTCGTAAAAGGACGCATGCAAGCAGCACCATGGTCAGTGTATCGCTCAACGTATCTATGACCCTGTGTGCCTGTTTCAGAATGGGTTACTACTCCTAAAACACATACTACATAGAACTTATGGTACATGCAACATTTGTTTTGTGTGGTACTGTGTCATTCTGAATCGAGCCAGGATCATTTTTTGAGGAGTTAAACCGTGCATGTAAAGCACTGTCAAAATAATGGTTTACTGTCTACAGATGCCCCTGGACACTGACGAGGACCACTCCTATAACAAGAGGCCTTGCAGCTTCCTTCCTAAAGAGTCGGTTAGTGTGAATGGAGTTTATTGCATACAAACATACTATCCGCCATTCATATGGAAATTGAGGATTTTGAATCCTCTTTAGCGTCACATGTACACAGCACAGCAGACACAGTGAAATAGACTCTGCATTCAACCCATCCTAGTATCAGGAGTATCTAATATTCAGAGCATTCCACTCAATAATATTTGTCCTGTGTACCCATTAAGGAAAGTCATGTTACCATGGACAAAGAAGACGGAAGCCTGGATGGCGAAAACGCATCTTTCAAGATGCTTGAGGTCAGTAAGGAAGTGCAAATGTTCATGGAAATTACTTATTCAGAGTTGAATTTAACATGTTTAAGCAATGTCAATTACATTTTAGGAAAGGGCTCAACAAGCTCAGCACCATCGAAGACTGACCAGTGGCTTGTTAATAGATTGTATCACTCAGGACAAAGGCTTACTGCAACATCTTGAAGTGAGTTTGCAATTGAAATGTCTAAGTAAAGGGACTCATTTTAAGCACAATATAAATAATTAAAGTGAAATATACATGTATTTTTAGCATTCTCCCAGTAAAATATAGCATTTGCAGGCAATCGTCACTGGACAAGTCAAGTCTCCTTGGGCAAAGAAGGACGAAAGGGTCATCATCTTATTTGAAGATGATGACCAGGTGGACCGAGTGTTGTCATTCCTCTCACAAGTGGTTGAGAAAACACAGACTGAGAGAAGGTTCACAGATGAGGTGGCATTCGTCATGGATGTGCTTCTGCCAGAGGTTAGATTTCACTGACTTTTTATTTGTCGACTACACATTATATAAAATTACATATGTTGCACTTAAACTCATGGTCAATGTCCAGTAGAATGTTGATGCCAATTGGTCTGGCATAATTGTCACTTGCAGAATGGCACAACCTTTATTGGATGTCTGCATTTTACTCCAACTGTTAAACGTGTGGCTTTAATCCCTTCATGACACAGGCGACAGTCCACGCCCTTGCAGCTGTACTCTCGGTTTCCCTTGAAAGAGCCAAGGAAACTTATAAATGTGGACCCGAGTATGACTGGAGGTAAGCTGGAAACATGAGGAGAATGCTAATACAATTTCTATTTAAAGTGTACAACCCCTGATGCATGTGAATTTATAATATTACATATATGACTTCTTTATACCATCTTGTCTTATCAGTGAGATGGAACTTTGTTCTCATTACCTCACCAAGAACTTGAGTGAGGAAGCGCACCAAAGGCTGAAGAACTCCAGTGAAAGGTTCCGAAGAGCTTTGGATTCCGAGGAGTTTTTAAATAGGCTTTAACCTCCTGCAGGTCAATCCTGGCTGCTTACATTTTTATTTAAACCATGTTGATTTTACTGTTCGGATCAATTTTAAAAGGTTATTTTTTTTTTTTAAGCAGACCAGGTTGAATAGTGCCCCTCTGATTTTCCACATGTTCTGTTCAATAAATGTTCATTGAGGAAAACGGTATCAGTGTCTTATTGTATATTCATCACAGTGAATGCAGTGAATGCTGAACTTGCCGGACCATATACTGTAGTTGAAAGTACACAATGAAACACTGGCTTGCTTGTATCAAATCAATACAATTCCCACATGCCCTACCCCGGAACCTGCGGTCTTCAGACTCTGGCCCCCCGCACCAACCTGGGATCCTTCGGGGACAGAGCCTTCAGTATGGCAGCCCCCACTCTCTGGAACGCTCTCCCTGCGGAGATCTGCAACATCCCCACGCTTGACGCCTTCAAAAGGGCCCTCAAGTCTGCCAAGGTCTTTGGCCCCAAATCTATTTGTTTTGTCTGTCTAACTGTTCGTCTGACTGTCTTTTGTTATGTTTGTTTCTACTCCTGTTCTTTTTAAAGCGACCTTGGGTCTCATGAAAGGTGCTATATAAATCCAAGTTATTATTAATACATCATTGGAACGGTAAGAATCTCAGCTACAACACTGACTAAAGCCTTCCCATCTCCAGTATGCCTACACAACCCTGTCTCCTAGAAATTACGTTCCCACAAAACTAAACTGCATTCTCAAATACGTTTTGCAAGAAGCGTATTTCCTTCCACGTTACGTTTGTTATGAACATATCTTAAATACGTTTATTTTCTACATATCTTCTAGAAACCTATTTTCTCTCACATGACGTTTGTTATGAACGTATCTTAAATACGTTTGCTTTCTACCTATATTTGCCATTTCTTTTCTAGCTTATAATAATGATAATAGTCATTTATTAATATCATTTTAGAGCAAACTTATTTTCGCGCTGGCTGGCGGCTGACTTTTCAGTTGACCAAATCCGTTATTATGCTGGTTAATGGTTAATAATCACAATATTGTTTGTAGTCGTTTCATACAGCATTCTCAATTACGTTTAATTTTGTCCCACGTTACGTTTGTTCTGAACATATCTTAAATACGTTTGCTTTCTACCTATCTTTGACATTTATTTTCTAGCTTATAATAATGATAATAGTAATTTATTAATATCATTTTAGAGCACACATTTGAAATCGACGATCGGGCTTGATATCCTATGGTTAAATTAAAATCAGTAGGCGAGGCTGTAATTTCGCCAGCTGCGAGGCAGAAAATAATAGTTTTAACATGCCAAAAAGCTGCTGTGTCGTTTATTGCACCTCAAACATTAAAACAAATCCAGAGTTACGTGTTTCTGTACTTCCTCTAAGAAGAAAGGACAGTATACAACAGAAGAGCTCTGTGGCTTCAGGCTTGATCGCCGTTCAAATGACAGCTGGTTTCCCCAAAAGTGAGCAGGGCTGTAAAGTGACGTAGGAAAGATCATCAGCTCGCTGATTGGATGTTTTAGCCGCAATGCAAGTCGGGATATGGTGTTAATGCGATATGAAATCCGAAAAAAGAATCAGAGTTTAGGATGGCCGAAGACACTACACTACCCATAATCCCCAGCTATCGTTTGGGACTACAGTCCTGTTGACAAACCCCGTGATTAATCTTCAAGCTCTGGGATTGGATGTTGGAGTGGCAGTGCGCCAAGGTTACGCCGAGCGCCAAACAGCTCTTTGAAATGGAACGAAACCACGGCAGACTTTCCAAAACTGGACTCGAACGCCCCCCCAGAACTACAAATGCTGGCTATTGTGTTTCGCAACATGTTCTATAGCGTCTCTACTGGGAATTGTAGTTTTAAAAGACGTTTTCGTTTTTCCCAAAATTAGAAGTTGACAGTATTAAACTGTGTACAGCCCTGGAGGTTTAGGGGATAGGAAACAAATTGGTGTGTACAAATGTAAAACATGTAATTAATAAATGGGTGAAAATCGCTTGTGTCCATAATGGGAAGCATTAATATATACCCACATGCCAGCTCATTGTTACTTTGGAATTCTACTCCACTACAATTCAGAGGTTAACCTGGTATTTTTACTCCACTACATTTATTTTAGTTACTTTGCAGATTCTGATTAATGATGTGAAATATAAACAACCCTTAAAGCAGACTTTAGTTACACCTGAGTAAAATTCAGGGAAAGGTGATTGTCAAGTGCCAACAATCAGGAGAGATATTAGTTGGTGCTTGAGAAGACTAAACATTTATCTGCAGATCTCTATAAAGTATATTCATTACTCGTTATTCTCTACTAATAGTTAATTAAAAACTGTATATAATAGCTATTTTGCACATCCCTTTCAAGATTTTCTAAGGTTTATTGACATATCATATACACCACGATGTTGAAGTTATGCAATTAATGAAAAACTTGGGTCACAGGTTCCTCAACAGTGCATTACAAGACATCTATCAATATGTGTGTATTCCTCCACCATTAAACTCAAATTCTGCACATGTCTTATACTATCTACATACATAAGAGTATAATTAATATATATATAATATCAGTTAAAATAAGTGCTTCAACACAGTTAACATTGCAGGAAAGCAATATATTAGACGCTAAGTACTTTGTCAGGCTTAATATTTATCTGTAGATAGATACCCCCAAAGCTTTTTTCTTATTTGAAAGAAAACCTAAAGTATTGTTTAATGTGTTAATAAAGGTTAATTAGTTTGTCTGTTTTGCACATCCTCATATTAATATCTTTGTACATCAGGCACTACACTGTTTTATTGTAGAGATCACTTACAGTATCTTCTTGATTTTTTATATTCTATATTTCTATCATTGACCTTCTACTTTCCCCCTATGAAAGTATGTACTCTTAATATTTTATTCATCAAATAACATTATTCAACAAAAATAACATTATTCAACAAAAATGATTAAATAACGTGCTTTAACCACTAGGCGGTGCACACAAGGTACACACAGTATACTAATAATAACTTTGTATTATTAGTGTAGGACACTTATGTATGTATAACATCTGAAGATGTGTAGTTTTATTCATGTTTTTACATAATTGTACAGGATATTGCTATATTATTTCTCATGTTTACTTCTACACATTAATATCTGATTTGTAAAACATCACAGACAGAAAGGTATATCCGTCATTTAATGGTAAGCTATTGAAATTGTGATTCCATAGATGTGTCTCCCATCACCCAAATCCCCTGACTATTCTCTCAACTCAGTATTTACATTCTTATATTCAAAGAAAATCAGTAATATCTTTAAAAACTACAAGTCCTTTTCTATCAGCTGTGCACCGTTATGGTGTAAATATAACCTATCTACCAATTGGATCAAATATAAAAGTCAGCCGTATTAGTATTGATACTGCAAGGAGACGTATTTTGTGAAAAGAAATGTAAGATGTTGTTTAATTGTTGATATATTTATGATCCACGACACGTATTCAGTTTCGGCGGCAGTTCTTCCAGAACTTCAGTCCAGAAGTCTTCTCATCAGGGCTCTATAAATAAAGAACTATGGCAGATGTGTAATATTTAATGTAGCCGAACCGTGTATTACAATGCCGTTATGTGATGACTTTCAAAGAGAAAAGCAAGAACACTCAGAATAAAGTATTATTATTATTTTTTTTAATGTTTTCGGATTTCACATCGCATAAACACCATATCCCAACGTGCATTGCGGCTAAAACATCCAATCAGCGAGCTGAGGATCTTTCCTACGTCTGTTTCCGGTATTGTTCCTGTAATGAGAGTTCACATTTATGCTACATTGAAGGGTGGAATTGACTACACATCTTCAGAAACATAATTTGCTTCAGATATATACTGTAACTCATAGCAATATTGTAACCATTAAGAAAAGCCAACTGCATTAAAAACCCAGTTAACAAACACAAGGTAAAGTATTTTTCCTTCAGTAATGAAGATGTAATTCCAATGTAGACACACCTGGGGTCGCTGTTCAGTCTGTTACGCTGAGCCATGCATTGTCTGGAACGTAAAAGGGACGAAGAAGACAAAGTGAAGTGACGTACTTCCGGTTCAATGTGAAAACATTCCCAGTTAAACCATAGATATATATAAAAACATATGTTTATATATATCTATGAGTTAAACAACATAAACAAATCGCTTAATAAAAAGATAAAACACTGGCATGTAATTTACGTTTGGATTAAATAGAATGGTTTTGAATAATAGATGAGAGTAAAATCTACGTCACAGCCCCACCCACTTTTGGGGAAACCAACGCTGTCATTTGAACGGCGATCAAGCCTGAAGCCACAGAGTAGTGATGGGAATTATGGCTCTTTGAAGGGAGCCGGATCTTATGGCTCCGTTCCTTTCAAAGAGCCGTTCAAAAGAGCCGTTCAAAAGAGCCGTTTTTTTAAAAAGGGGGCGGGGTTACTAGGTTTATCTGCGAAATAATCACCAGGATAATGATTGACTGCATTGCCAGACCTAATGTCAATAATCTGCATTGTAAACATGACACAAGGTGGCGCCATATCCATGTCATTCATGTCAGTGAATGTACTTTGAATTTACCCTCTGCATGTTAAGTAAATAAAGTTGCCTTGCCTTGAATGAAATTCACGCAACTCTTAATATTAGTAGTGTGTTTTTAAGTGGCGATGGAGATTATTTGTTGACCCTGCTTTAAAGGATATTTTGCCTTTACAAATGGTGCGCTTTATCACTGCCTGGGTTTTGGTTGAAGTGCATCCAAATGCTGCTGCGTTTTCGCGTTTGGCTCATTTTACATCCGAAAAACACGTCGTCTATCTGTCCAGTACCACTTGTTATGACTTCTCTCTCTCGCGTATTCCGTTAAGACCCACCCCACCTAACTCCTCGTGCTGAAACCTACAAATCAGAGTAGGGGCGGGTCTTCACAGAATACGTTTGGGGAACAAAATCAAGCTTTTTAAAAGGCGAGTGAATTTTGGCAGGCAGTGAGTGCGGACCAACTTTGATTGAACGATAAGAAGAACGGCTCTCACCAAGTACGACTCGGTTCCCCTCGTTCGTACCAAAGAGCCGTTGAAAAGAATCGGCTCGTTCGCGACCGACACATCACTACCACAGAGCTCTTCTGCTGTCCTTAGAGGAAGTTTGAGGTGTTTGAGGTGCAATAAACGACACAGCAGCTTTTTGGCATGTTAAAACTCTGCCTCGCAGCTGGCGAAATTACAGCCTCGCCTACTGATTTTAATTTAACCATAGGATATCAAGCCCGATCGTCGATTTCAAATGTGTGCTCTAAAATGATATTAATAAATTACTATTATCATTATTATAAGCTAGAAAAGAAATGTCAAAGATAGGTAGAAAGCAAACGTATTTAAGATATGTTCAGAACAAACGTAACGTGGGACAAAATTAAACGTAATTGAGAATGCTGTATGAAACGACTACAAACAATATTGTGATTATTAACCATTAACCAGCATAATAACGGATTTGGTCAACTGAAAAGTCAGCCGCCAGCCAGCGCGAAAATAAGTTTGCTCTAAAATGATATTAATAAATGACTATTATCATTATTATAAGCTAGAAAAGAAATGGCAAATATAGGTAGAAAGCAAACGTATTTAAGATACGTTCATAACAAACGTCATGTGAGAGAAAATAGGTTTCTAGAAGATATGTAGAAAATAAACGTATTTAAGATATGTTCATAACAAACGTAACGTGGAAGGAAATACGTTTCTTGCAAAACGTATTTGAGAATGCAGTTTAGTTTTGTGGGAACGTAATTTCTAGGAGACAGGGTTGTGATGTTTCAGTTGTGTAAGCACTTTTTTAACTGGGTTGCTTAGGCCATTAACTATTAGTGAAATTATATTAATGTTCATAGTTTAAATTCTGGTGTTTTCTGTGTTGTAACAACTCTCCTTTACACATAGTTCTCCAATCACTTCTCAAAAATTCACCTTTTAGAGCTTCTAAACCTGTGTACATAATTTGTATCACCTTTCTTGTATTTTCCAACAGTGTATCCATACTTAACCCTGTACGGGAAAACTGAAAATAATGATAACACATGTGACAACAGAAAAAGAGAAAAAAGAGTGTGACTTCCATTTGTGTTACCAAGCACCTAAGGTAGCTGTCCAACGTTTTCCATGCATGGAACTGAGCATGGATCCTAGGGTCTACTAAGACCCAGAGCTGCAAGGTCTTAAAAAACAGCCCTATCAAATATTTTCATCTAGATAGTTTGAAAGATGTCTGATGTCTGGGAAAATGGCAATAGCGTATGGATAAAACAAAACACCATCAATACGTCACACCTCTTAAGTGCTAAAGGTAATCCTAGCAACTGTACCAGATAATTATCTATATATCTATCTCAAAGATATAAAGACATGTTTGTTTTTTTCTCACGCTGAGAGTCAAGACAAATTCAAATAAGCTTTATTGAAATGCCGACATTTAAAACATACAAAGCAAATTGACAATACAGATTTAAGACTGAAACAAGTGAGATAATCAAGTCCATTGTGTTAAATAGAGACATATAATCTTACAAAGCCATACAGATGAATAATATTCTAAATGTATTGATCCTGTATAGATCTGTTTTACTGGTTAATACAAAGAGAATAGCATGACATTGTTGTGAAAGCAGGGATCTTAATTTTAAATGCTGATAAACACAAATGTCTTTCCTCTGAAGTACTCTGTCTGCCGCTGATCATAAATATAAAAAGTGCACATCATTTCAAAGACAACTTTCAGGGAGGAGTTGTTCACTTTGAGAAAAAAAGGTGAAGTGGTAAAGCTGCTTTTTATCTGATAACAGCAGTTTGTTGAAGTGGAAGAGCTTTATCTTGTCAGAGAACATGTAAGACACCCACAATATCTTTTTACAGTTTTTATCTTTGTATGCATGCTCAAAGAAAGTTGCCATTTCCTGATCTAACTATATCTAATTTGCCCATTTACTAAAGTTCTGTAATTAACTTAAAATAAAAGGCAGTTTACTTTTTTAAATGAAACATGAGCAAATCCTGCAGTTAAAGTCCCAGAGTATTATTGTGATAAACATACATACATTTTTGTATTAATTGACAGCACTAGTTCTTACAGTATGTACAAAGTGGCTGGTACCTATGCATGTTAAATACCTGCAATAGATTTGTAGTCACATGGCCACAAGAGGTCATTGTTAGGAAACATACTGTATAACACACAGGCTATTTTACACATTTGAACAAGTTAGACCAATGCTGAGACTAGAGTATTGTTGTATATTTCTGAATTATTCAATAATGTTTGACAGTTTTTATTCTTCTTATTTTTTATCATATTCTGCTCAATAAGGCACCTTCAATATTATAACTTTCAGGAACTGTGGGCTTATCAGCAGATGTTTTTAATAAGCTGTTTTTATGTTGATATGTAAAAGGATTAATACAAATACTAATTTAATTGAGGCAAATAAAAGTTGGCAAAAACAAATTAAATTACTATTTATTTATTGCTGATATATATTATCAGAAAAAAAAAATTGTGATTTATCGAGTCATGAAACGTAATTCTTATTCATGAAATGAGGCATTTTGAATAGTTTTAAATAACTCAATTTAAAATAAATTGTAAAAGCATGATTGCATGTTTGGTATCCAAACAGACACCAATGTTAAGCTTATTTCTCACAGATACAATATATATGTTCTTTACAGGGCTGGTCGTTCCACCTTTTGGTGTCAGGTTTGATGACTGCACAGTCCTCTTCACCCACTCCTCCATTACTAGGCTCTCCTTTGACCCAAAACCTAACAGGTATTACAGGAAAACAAGATAAACTAAAAGATTGGACATCAAATACAAATAACTATAAGTAATACAGCCATGTTCTTTTCTTAAAACCCAAATGAATCTTCTGGTGAAAGGGGTAGACACCCTACGTTTAAATGCATCCTGTGTGTTGTGTTAACTCCCATTACAGAAACATGTGAAACATTTAGAAAGGTCACAACATAAACCAGCGTCTGTATTTAAAACCAAAGTAAAGCCTTACGTCAGATTCAGTGGAGATCCATCCACCCATTTCCAGGTCCCCTCCTCTTCTCTGTCACTCAAACCAATCCAAGTGTCTCCCTTGATCTTGCTAGAGATGAATTCCTGTTCACATATTAAAAATGCAGTTTACTGGGATGGACATCAACATTCAGATAACTTTTCCCTTTTTACTAGCTCAGAAATATGTAACCAACACCATTGTTGTAACATAATCATTATAGCTGATAGAAATATTTGCTAGTATATGTACAATAAAAACATTATTGATTGATAAAAGCAGGAGTTATACAATCACAAGTGATAAAGCAGCACACATTACCTGTTCTTCCTCACTGTCTACGATCACCAGATGTGCTCCTCTGGCTCTGCAGTCTTGTCTGCTTTGTTCCCAAGAAGCTTTCTCAGTGGAGAGGAAGAGATAACAGGAACAACCGAACTTCCTCCATCCTTCTGGACACGTTTTCTCTGTAAAAGTTGTAAGATCTTGTTGATTTCCTGCTTTAACTGCTGAAATATGGAACTCTTGAGTGCATTATATGTCACTTTTGTAATAATAATGAAAAAACATATTTATTAAGCATTTTTAGAGGGATCAAAAGAGATCACAAATTTCATTGCAGAACAACTACTTCTCTTTTTTGGGATTTAAATAACTGTTTCGATGTGATCTAGTCAGGCACCACAGCACTGAGACTGATCTTGTTAAAGTCTTCAATGACATCCACTTAAACACAGACAGTGGTAACATCTCGGTGTTAGTTACTAGACCGGAAATTATTATTATTATTATTATTATTATTATTATTATTATTATTATGCTGCAAATATCTGGAACAAACTACCTCTACGTTCTTCTTCCTAATGCTTATATTAAAAAGTGATTTAGACAAGGAAACTGGCCATAAGCATAGTTTACAGAGAAATATAAATATGGTGGGTGAAGAAAAATAAAACAAACTATAAATGAAATCACTCACAACTAAGTCATTAAAAACTAATTCTTGATTATCATTAATGAAAAGTGTCATTGTGTAACTATTTTATGAAACGATCAATAGTCATCCTTAGAATATCAATATTGAGGTATTTTGTACAAAATATTATGATAATTGATATCTTACATACACATACCGAGCCCTAAGCAAACCCCCACATGAAGCACTCACCCTTGCCCATCAAACACTGGAGCCTGTCCACCTCTCTGGTCTTTTCGGTGAGGTTGGCCTTCAGTCTGTCTCTCTCTTCAGTCACTGAGGACAGGTCTGCTTTGACAGTGGAGAGATCTGCAGCTGCAACACCATCTGAGTAATGGCCTGAAATGAACAAGAGACACGTTTTCTAAACAGAAAATACCTCATACTGATACAAACTTAAATAACTATTTTATGAAAGGATCAATAGTCATCCTTAGAATATCAATATTGAGGTATTTTGTACAAAATATTATGATAATTGATATCTTACATACACATACCGAGCCCTAAGCAAACCCCCACATGAAGCACTCACCCTTGCCCATCAAACTCTGAAGCCTGTCCACCTCTCTGGTCTTTTCGGTGAGGTTGGCCTTCAGTCTGTCTCTCTCTTCAGTCACTGAGGACAGGTCTGCTTTGACAGTGGAGAGATCTGCAGCTGCAACACCATCTGAGTAATGGCCTGAAATGAACAAGAGACACGTTTTCTAAACAGAAAATACCTCATACTGATACAAACTTAAATAAAAGGCAGAGGGCAGAAAGTGCATTTGAAAATTCCAAATGACATTAACTTATAAAACAGACTAACAGTAGACTGTGAGTCCGATGAAGACAGCCAGCAGGAAAACACTCAGCAGCCCAAAACCGAGAACAGACGCTCGGGGAAATCTCCTGGGACCTGAACACAGAGAAGACCAGTGAGTATAATAAATCCACAATCCACAGCTCACTCCGTCTGACTGACACTTACCTTCTTGTATTGCTGATCTTGGGGTTAGGGGTTTTACAGTTTCAACATCGTCATTGATTTCCTCCATTGCTTTTAAAAAATGCCAACTTTTTTCTTTAAGTCAGCTCTGCAGCAGGGACTGCAGCACATGTGACCGAGGTTGAGGGTTTCAATTTCTAAATATGTTATCCTTCTGAGGAAGTGACTCATCTAAGATTTGCTGAAAGAAGTTTCTATGACAATCTTCCAGATGATTATCGGACACACCATATTAAAGTTACAGACATTTTCTCTCTCTCCATTTTCTCTCTCCCCCATGTATATATAAAGGCTCATTAGAGGTATACAATATAATTGCTCTGTTTTTTATTTCAAACAAATATATGTCATATCATTTTAATGTTGAAGTTTGTCTGCTGCCAAAATTATCTTCACCAAAAAAAATTCCACCACTGAATATTTTAAGTTACAGACCTTAAAAATAGTAATTACATGAACACTTACATAAGTTGAGTCTGAAATCTTCTTCATTGGGAATAAGAATGCAGGTATTTCTAAATCAAACTTTACCTTTCAAATTCCCTCCTGGAAATATCCAGCAAAGAAAATAATATAAAAGTTAATTTAGGCAATGATGATTTGTCACTTTTCCTCCATGAGTCATGTCTTTATGGTACGAGTGTGTTTTCTATTTCTTTTTCTCAGTATAAATGATTTGTGCTTGGTGTGTTATGGTTTCATCAGTCTTTGTTCGTATCGCAGTCACTGCCCAGGGAGTTCTCCTCGGTCAGCACAGCCAGCCACTATGTGAAATATCACTATAAGGAGGCTGTGGAGCAGTGGGATAGTGCACTAAACTTCGGATCAGGGGAGAGCTGGTTCCAGTGCTGCAGTCAGCATGTCGTTGTTTCCCTGGGTAAGACACTTCAGCCCATTGGGGATTGCCCACAGTATTGAATGTATGTAAGTGGCTTTGGATAAAAGCGTTTAACAGGTGAAATGTAATGTGAAAGTCTGTGGGATCTTTCAGCCCAGCTTACCAGCCCTCAGAGTCATTAAAGACAGTCTGCCTGTTCTCCTCCGGTAACTCCGGTACAGGAAGCCATGATTTCACAACCTGTCAGGGAGCCATGGGTCCACGCTCCTGAACGGTATGACGCTGATGTGGGATTGTGTCAGTCTTAAGGCTAAGATTGCTTTCCTCATGGGTCTCCTCGCAGAAGCACTTTGGAGTAGGTGTCAGCCTTTCGGGGAAGAAGGTTCCCACTTTTGGAATCGTATCAGGGGTTCTCAGCTGAGATGTGGAGGGTGTTCGACCATCCTGTATGGGTGAAGGATGTCTCCAGAAGACTACTCTCTCTTCGAGTGTGGCAGAGTATGCCATCGAATTCCACACTATGTCAAAAGGAGTGGATGGAATGAGGAAACCCTTTAGGCTAGTTTCACCAAAGACTTAAATGAGGAAACTAAGGATGAACTGGTGTCTCAAACCTGAACCTTATAATCTTGATGATCCAATTTCCTCAGCCATTGATGCGGAAAATCGTCTCCAGGAGTAAGAGAGACAGCGCAGCCATCCCAGTGCTTCCTGTGGTGTCTGGCACCAAGACGTTAGCAGCAGATCCTTTCATTCCTGTTCCATGCCTCCAGGGATCACACTTGTTTATCCAGCACATCCCACAGATGCTCAATTGGATTGAGATCTGGGGAATTTGGAGGCCAAGTCAACACCTTGACAGCTCTCACTTCCCCTTCCCTAATGTTTAGGTGGATACCTGACAGAGGCTTTTGCTGAGAGTTAAAGCAATTACAGACAGTTTAACATGTCATGTCACTTGTTAGACACTTTTATCCAAAGCGACTTACATACTCATGTGGGCAATCCCCACAGGAGCAATTTGGGGTGAAGTGTCTTGCCCAGAAATCTATTCTGTTAAATAGACATACATAAACTTAACCATAAAGGTAAATAATATTGGCAGTTCATGATTCATTACTTTTGACAGGTTTTATTTATGGAACAGGTCGACAAAGGATAAATGTAACATCCGGATTTCAACAACATTTCAAAAGATTTTAATTTATTCATGATTACATAAATACACAAATAAACTATCGGAAACAAGTCAGCAGCTTCAGGTGCCTCTGTGTCCACATCACTGAGGACCTGACATGGTCTCTTCACACTAACACCATCACCAAAAGAGCTCGACAGCGGCTCTTCTTCCTCCGCAGGCTGAGGAGGTTCAACATGGACTCCAGGATACTCTGCAACTTCTACAGGTGCACCATAGAGATTATCCTGACTGGCTGCATTACAGCCTGGTACGGCAGCTGCACCGCCCTCAATCGCAAGGCTTTACAGAGGGTGGTGAAAACTGCACAGCACATCACCAGGACGGAGCTGCCATCCATGGAGGACCTTTTCTCCCAGCGGCTCAGGAAGAAAGCCCTCAGGATTATAAAAGACCCCCATCACCCCAGCCACAAAATGTTCTGTCTGCTGCCGTCTGGCAGGCGGTACCGCAGCATCCGGACTAAAACCACCAGACTCAGGGACAGTTTCATCACACAGGCCATAAGACCGTTAAACACCTGAACTAAGAACATCCATAACATTCACCAGTTTGCAACTCACACATTATGTATCACTTGTATATAGACTCTTATGGCACTACTTCTATTCTATTTGATTGTATTTACTTGCACTATTTTATCTGTTGTATTGTGTTGCACTGTTGGAGGAGCCTGAGACCTAATATTTTCATTGTCATAACTGCACTGTAGCTATGTAGGAATGACAATAAAAGCCTTGAATCTTGAAACAACTATAAATTAACAAAATACAATTGAAACTTTATAAAGCCAATAACGAAAGAGTCCAAATCAGCTGTGTGCATTTCACTTATTGTAATTTCTTTCCTCTGAAGCATCCTGTCTGCTGCTGATCATATACATACAACATTTAGAGTTATTCACATTGAAAAAAAAATAGGAGGTGGTAGAGTCACTTTTTTATCTGATAACACCAATTGGTTGAAATGCAAGAGCTTTATCTTGTCAAATCACATTCAGTACACCCACAGTATTTTTTTTAGGTGTTTATCTTGGTATGCGTGTCAAAATAAAGTTGCCATTGTGTGATCTAGTTATATCAAATTTGATAACATGTGACTTTTATGCCCTCACAGTGTACATTAAGTTAGAAAAGTCACAACATAAACCAGTGTCTGTATTTAAACCAAAGTCAAGCCTTACTTCAGATTCAGTGGAGATCCATCCACCCATTTCCAGGTCGCTTCCTCTCTGTCACTCAAACCAATCCATGCATGTGACTTGGTAAACCAACACAAGTATCTGTTAAAGAAAAACTTTAGCTATTACCCCAAATATCTGTGGTTTACATATGTACCTCAACATAAATGAAGAATGTTGCGTGAGAAAGACACATTTTTCCAGCTGTTTATTATCACACACACACACACACACACACACACACACACCCCCACACACACACACACACACACACACACACACACACACACACACACACCACACACACCACACACACACACACACACACACACACACACACACACACACACACACACACACACACACACACACACACACACACACACACAACACACACACACACACAGTACCTTTGACAGATGTGTTTCTTGCATAAATACAATATCTCCACCTTGATGTTTCAGTTGTGTAAGCACTTTATTAACTGGGTTTTTTAGGCCATTAACTATTAGTGAAATTATATTAATGTTCATAGTTTAAATGCTGGTGTTTTCTGTGTTGTAAAAATACCTCCTTTACACATAATTCTCCAATCAATTAAAAAAAATGCACCTTTTAGAGCTTCGAAAAAAATGGCAATAGCGTAAAGGATAAAACAAAACAAAACACCATCAATACGTCACACCTCTTAAGTGCTAAAGGTAGTCCTAGCAACTGTACCAGATAATTATATATATATCCATCTAAAAAATATAAGGACATTTTTTTTTTGTCTCACGCTGAGAGTCAAGACAAATTCAAATAAGCTTTATTGACATGCCGACATTTAAAACACACTATTGCCAAAGCACATTGACGATACAGATTTAAGACTGAAACAAGTGTGATAATCAAGTCCATTGTGTTAAATAGAGACATATCATCTTACAAAGCCATACAGATGAATAATATTCTAAATGTATTGATCCTGTATAGATCTGTTTTACTGGTTAATAAAAAGAGAATAGCATGACATTGTTGTGAAAGCAGGGATCTTGATTATAAATGCTGATAAACACAAATGTCTTTCCTATGAAGTACTCTGTCTGCCGCTGATCATAAATATAAAAAGTGCACATCATTTCAAAGATAACTTTCAGGGAGGAGTTGTTCACTTTGAGAAAAAAAGGTGAAGTGGTAAAGCTGCTTTTTATCTGATAACAGCAGTTTGTTGAAGTGGAAGAGCTTTATCTTGTCAGAGAACATGTAAGACACCCACAATATCTTTTTACGGTTTTTATCTTTGTATGCATGCTCAAAGAAAGTTGCCATTTCCTGATCTAGCTATATCTAATTTGCCCATTTACTAAAGTTCTGTAATTAACTTCAAATAAAAGGCAGTTTACTTTTTAAATGAAACATGAGCAAATCCTGCAGTTAAAGTCCCAGAGTATTATTGTGATAAACATACATACATTTTTGTATTAATTGACAGCACTAGTTCTTGCAGTATGTACAAAGTGGCTGGTACCTATGCATGTTAAATACCTGCAATAGATTTATACTCACATGGCCACAAGAGGTCATTGTTAGGAAACATACTGTATAACACACAGGCTATTTTACACATTTGAACAAGTTAGACCAATGCTGAGACTAGAGTATTGTTGTATGTGTCTGAATTATTCAATAATGTTTGACAGTTTTTATTTTTATTTTTTATATCATATTCTGCTCAATAAGGCACCTTCAATATTATAGCTTTCAGGAACTGTGGGCTTATCAGCAGATGTTTTTAATACACTGTTTTTATGTTGATGGGTAAAAGGATTAATACAAATACAAATGTAATTGAGGCAAACAAAATTTGGCAAAAACTAATTAAATTACTATTTA